TTTCATATAAGCAGTTATGACACTTGCTTACACCAAGACACAGACACTGACACGCGCGCATATATACAACATTCACACACACACTGAACCCGCTCACTCACAGCACATGCATCTGTTTCTCGTTCCCTCTCATCCCACGATTCACACTGTTTCACACTCATCATCTCGGGCTCTTCCTTTTTTCAGCACCCTCCACCACCATAATTGTCTCAACTCCTTTCCCCTCTCTCCTACGTCTGTGCACCTCTCAGCCAGGCGTTACCATGGAAACTGGCTAACAACTGATGGGCTTGAAAACGTCAGGATTGGCATGCACGATTGGCAAGCGCGCGCGCGCTCGGAGGTGCATGCACAAACACACACATACATATTGTGCACATTCATTATTATACAATTCAAGCTTGGTGCATGTTATTCTGGCTCTATAGGCATGCATGCATAAGGAAACGATAGGTATGGTGAAGGGGTGCACACCAAATTTAAAGGGGGGGGGGGGTTAATTTAAGAAAAATTAAAGAAAAAAGGAGAAGAATAAAAAATATGTAGTTACTGACTGTCCCTTTTTTGAATGCACACTCGGATTCCTGTAAAATGCAAAATGATTTTGGTTTAACATTCATCATAAACACTCTGCGCATGCAGTGAGACCTTTTTATATGTTTGAAAACTCAAAACAACAAATGAAAACGTAAGCTACTTCCAGCTGCTCCCTTAGACACAAGGGGTTACCACAGCGGGTACCTCCGCATGTTTGGTTTGGAGGATTTTCACACCGGATGCCCTTCCTGACATAAGCCCCTCCCCCCACCCCACCCCTTGAAATGTATGAAAATCAATCAACCAGATTTGTCACTGCATATCATGGATGTATTACAAAATTAGCATGATGTTTTTGCATTTTTTTCTGAAGTCCTAAGTTTGTGGAAGGAGCAGATGTGCTGTCTTAGCAGTCTCTTTTTGTTTCCAAGGATGTGTCAAACCTGTTCACACTTATGTTTTTATTTGGACTGTGCATCGTCTGTCCAGACAGAGACACGAGCGTGACTCACTCTGTCAGCTGCTGTCTCACTTATATAAATAAATTTCATCAAACTAACTACTAACTTCATTTTCAGTGACTGGCCTTAGAAAGTCATGACTTGGCTGCTGTTGTCTTCCCCTCTTCACTGTTATGTGAGACTGCTTTAAGACGAGTCTGAAAGTTCCCGGGTCACGTTTAAGGCCGCTTTATAAACAGAGTATTACTCGCTTGTAACAGACTTTTTAATCAGCCACGTCTGCTCATATCTAATTTTAATTTTCAATTTTCAGATTAAATTGAATATTTTAAATGGATGAAGCCCTCAGGCTGAGAGTTTTTTTTTCCTTTTGGTAATGAGAATGGCAGTCTAATTTTAATCCTGATGACTACTGCAATGCTGATAGTGTAGTTTAACACCTGAAATTTCTATATAGAATTTAATTAATACACAGGGAAAGCAACTTTTCACAGATTATACAGAATCAAAGTGACAAGCATTTACAGAATAATTTGGCGCTACGGGGAGTGAAGAATTACAAAGTCTTTACCCACACATGTCAGTTGTCATTATATTCATTAAAGATGGCAGTATGTTTGCACAGCATCATGTCAAAGAAATCATGAGCTGATACAATGTAATATAATAATGCCATGAATGAGATGGTTTGTGACGTCCTGATTTAAAGAGTTAAGCATTTAGTTCTTATTAAAACTGAACACCTAATCTAAGGGCTAATTACTCATTTTGTATAGAGACTTGTTAGTCACAAGTGTGATGATGACTTGCAAAGTAGACATCGTATTGTATTACATAATGCTTGGAACAATAGAGTGTATATAAAAGATGGAGGTGTGTCATTAATATCTAGTAGTCTTGGCTAAATACAAAAATTGCATTTAAATTCGAACTCCAGGTTGAATGACCATAAACAACTATATTATACAAAATGGTGTTGACCAGAAGTTAAAACAGGTGGGATTTAGGATTTAGCTAATTGCAGTAGTTTGCTGGTAGTCCTCAGTCACACTGACCTAGAAAATGGTCAGCAACCCCTTGGCAACCACCGGTCACTGGGGACAAAAAGTGTATTTCCCAAAAGGATGGGGAGCAGTTGCTGGAGACAGCTGGCAGTCGCTAGGGGAAATCTGTTCTGCACCTTGTGGTGGTCCCTGTGGTTATTATCAGATTAGCAGATTGCTGGAGTCACCCACAGTTTGCATGGAAGATGCCAATTTGTCTGCACACACCAACTATTTGCCTCTCTGTGCCTGTGTGACAGACCTAGCTGACATATATTAAGCGATTAAAGTAGTTTAATTACCTTTTGTCATTTATTGTGTGGCTAACTACTGCAACAACAACCAAAAAAAAAAAGGAAATAAAAGATATTTGGCTGGTTTTTAATGTTCTGAATCTGAATTTATAAGCCACTATATTAGGTGTCAGCCATATTTATTACTGATATATATTAATAAGAAGCGGCTTGGTGCAATAGCCACACCTGAACTTACTGACTTCAAAGCTAGAGTTTACATTCCAGGTGAGATTTGTCATTTCGATCGTGGGGCGATCGTGGCTCAAGAGTTGGAAGTTCGCCTTGTAATCGGAAGGTTGCCGGTTCGAGCCCCGGCTTGGACAGTCTCGGTCGTTGTGTCCTTGGGCAAGACACTTCACCCGTTGCCTACTGGTGGTGGTCAGAGGGCCCGGTGGCGCCAGTGTCCGGCAGCCTCGCCTCTGTCAGTGCGCCCCAGGGTGGCTGTGGCTACAATGTAGCTTGCTATCACCAGTGTGTGAATGTGTGCGTGAATGGGTGGATGACTGGATATGTAAAGCACTTTGGGGTCCTTAGGGACTAGAAAAGCGCTATATAAATACGTATGTATGATGTGTGAACACTTTTTGCGGTTGACTACAGTTACTTTTTGAAGTTATATTTTGTTATTATTTTGTGTCACATGCACAGGTAGCTGTGGTGTAATCCAGCCTTATAATTACCATATGAACAAAATATGTAATAAAATTTTAAAAAGAACAAAAACAAAAACAACAGAGGAAAACAACAGGCACAGTACATGCTGCACATGCACACAAATATTCGCATATCCTATAAAAAGCTAAGAAGCTTATGTAATAATTCAGCATGAGTCTAGCCACCATGTAGACACGCATTCACAGTATAGAAGCCCGTTCCTAATTAGCACTTAGCATTTGAAAAACAACACAAAATAGCTTGTGTAGGCGAGGCCAGAGGCCAACAGTACTGTAAATGGGTTTAAAAGGTGAAAAACGAAGGTGTGCATCAGCAGAGTGCTCTGTCATTTGTACGCACACGCCTCACTGCATGTGAGAAAAACATCATTTGCTAGTGTAAATGCAGGGTGATTTATAATGGAATAGGTCAAATATAATACAAACATTATTTTTAGACGAATCTGCATCGTAGCCTAATAGAATAGACGTCTCAATCTGTTTTTAAAAAGGGCAACAAACAAGCTCAAGCATTAAAGCGCCATAAAAACCAAACTGCTGATCATCGCACAGTCATGAAAGATTTTGAGATTGCCTAAACAAAAAAACCTCTTCTCAAAGTGATGCATCAGTTCAGCAATAATGTGGCCACCTGTCACCTCCACAGCAAAAGAAGCTACTCTAATGCAAAACCTCAAGAAGAAGTAATTATTGCTTTAGTGCTGACAGAGGCCATTTCAGCAGCTTCTGATTGCATTTACTGGTACTAATATCTACCGTGTACTTGTTCCTTTAGAATAATTTGAAACACAGCGAGCTCAGAGATGAAGCCTAACAAATGTTTAAAAAGCCTAGAGGCTTGGCAAACATCTGCTATTGTAGCTTGGAAGCCTGGAAAGAGAATCCATTTGAACAAGATGATAACAGGTTCTAAAAGGTTAGCTAGCTAAAAACAGACATGTTCATAGCAAGTGGCTCCTAATAGCTGCTGTGGTTTTACTACTAAAAATTACACTCCCTGGCCACTTCATTAGGTACACCTCTACAACTGCGCATCAACACGAATATCTCATCAACCAATCACTTGGCCCCAATTAAGTGCATTTAGACATGATTAACCCTTGGGGGGTCCTAGAAAAATGCATACACTATCGGACCTAGAGCCACAAATCGACCTAAGTCGCCCCAAGGGTTAAGAAGAGCTAGTGAAATTCAAAATGAGCATCAGAATGGTGAAGAAAGGTTGTTGGTGTTAGATGGGCTGTTCTGAGTATTTCAGAAACCACTGATATGCTTTGATTTCCCCCACACAACCATCTCCGTGGTTTGCAAACAACGGTCAGAAAATCTCCAGCGAGCGGCAGTTCTCCGGAAGAAAATGTGTAGGAAAGTCTGAGAAGAAGGGCCAGATTGATGCAAATGGACTACAGCAGCAGAAGAGCAGACCGAGCACCTCTCCGCTGAGTTGAGAACAGGAAACAGAGGCTACAGTTTACACAGGCTGAACAAAGGTGAACAGAAGATTGCAAAAACATTGGAAAAATGTTGTCTTGTCTGATGAGTCTAGATTTCTGCTGCTACACTTGGATTGTAGCATCTGAATTTGGTGTGAAACAATGTGGATCCACTCTGGTGGGGGGGTTCATAGCACACAGCCTCCCTGGGTATTGTTGCCGACCATGTCCATCCCTTTATGACCGCAGTGGACCAATCTTCTGAAGGCTACTTCTATGCTGCAACGTCACAGAGCTAAGATCAGGTCATACTGGTTTCTTGAATGTGGCAATGAGTTCACTGTGCTTGAACAGCCTTCACAATTACCAAACTCAGGCCAATACAGAACCTTTGGGATGTGGTGGAAACCCACTAAAGGGATGTGTCCACTGAGTGTATGAGTCACATTTTCACAAAAGAATGGGCTTGACTTCTGCATACATAATGCAACGATGTAAAACATCATCACGTTTTATCTTCATATTATAATATAATTATTTTATTTCAATAACACTTTCGAATACTTGGTGTTTTGTAGTTGTTTATTTCCAATGTAGTTTACTGTGGCACTACATTTTAAAAAACAAACAACAACAACAACAACAACAACAAAACAAGACACTGTAAAAAACGCTTTTACGCAGACTTTCTTTGAACAAAGGCACTGATATTTATGGATTTGTTTCTGCCGTCCAATCAGTATTTAAGTCATATTTGTTTTTCCAAAGAGATGTGGAGCGCAGACGCTAGTCATCTTTGTTTCACTGAAAATAGATTTACATGAAATTATTGCTAGGTTTGTGTTCAATAAGTTGTACGGCAGTTCAGATCCCTCTCCTCCACATCTTCTTTTCTTCTTAGTATATATAAGGGAAAATCCTGTAAGGCACACGTCGGCAGTATGTGTCCCAAGCCAGCCCGTATTTGGCTCTACACTGTCTTTCATCACGGGCCTCTCGGTGAATCAGTAAAACAGTGAAGTATATGACGTAGAAATAAGGCAGAAGATGTGAGAATCCTATAAATAAAGAGGCACATATGACAAAAAACACAAGACAGTATTATATGATTCAGTAATGAATGGTGAAAAAAAACTAGTACCTTCTTTTGCTACTGACATCAGCATTTGTGATTTGTATAAAACAAGCTGCAATCAAGTGTACATCCTCCTCTGCAAATAGCAGTTTACTTTCTATTCAGTCTTTACTGTACAAAAGCCCTGCAGTGAATACCAGTCTGATTAAGCTCTTAATATTCAGTGTTGATTCATCACAGTAATCAGAGCAGTACCCCTTGTCCCTTTAGTCAGCGCTTCCTCAGTCCAGGTTTACAGGGGACCACTGAGCTCGTTTGTTAGGGCAGCTTTCATCTGTCATCACTTTTTTTTTGGAGTGCATATTTTTGCAGTTTGTGCTACAGCGATAAAAAAGGATAAAAAGCAGAAACTAAAGAATGCGTCTCAATTACAAAAGCAGAGAGACAAATGAGTCACATAATGTTGAATACCAATGAGAGTGTCAGCTATACAAAAGTCTGACAGTCACTATTTCAGGAAGTGGGTTTTTGAGAGAACAGGGCAATTTACAGAAGAACAAAGAGAACAGTTTCCTGCTGCCATTGTTGGAAGCACATCAGTTGCAAATGTAATGCAAATATTTCATAAGGACATGGAGGTAGTCTGAAAAAAAAAATCACAGTGCACAAGGCCATTAATACCTTATAAACCAAAACCACATCAAACTGTACTGAGAGCACACAAAATGTGGCATTAAATGCTTAGTTAGATTGAGGCTGTTTTCCATCCGGTATTTACCACAATGGAAAAAAAAAAGAAAAAAGAAAAACAATAGCGGCTCGGTGCGGAGGGGTAAAACAGGTCTTAACTGTTGTTTGTTCCTTATGTGCTGAGCAACAGTTCAGGGTACCCCTGCCATTAAGACTCCACCGTGGGCACCGAACATGCCATGGCCCCCGTATCTGCCTGGCTGACTCAGGTTGGCTACATATGTTTCTTGTTTACATCTACCTCTCTCACGCTTGCTGTGTCTCGCCGGGGCGGAGCTTATTGCGGGCTCCCGCCCCTGGCCCTCGCACCTGAGGTTAATCACACACCTGTGGCTCATCGCCTAAACTCATCCACTACTTAAGGCAGTGGCTGGAAGCATCTCGTCGCTGTGGTGTGCTGTGTTTTTTGTGAAGTCCCTCGTGTGTGAACAGCTCCTTTCCCGGATTTCCCTGTGCCCTGGATTCCCCCCGCCCTCTCACTTGTATATATTTGCACCTGGTGTTGTATAGTAATAAGCGGAACTGTATTCTAGCTGCCTTGTCTGCGCTTGAGTCCATCCCACTTCGTGACAGAACAGGTGAGACCAGAGTGATGTTTATCTGTTGGACTTCTGTGCTAAGTACAGTTTGTCAAAAACAAACACCATGTTCAAGAAGAAGGGTGTTCGTAAGCAGGGTCCTGGACAGGTCTCATGTACCCAAATGTACAGTGAGGACCATTTTGCAGAGCCCCCAGTCTGTGAGTGAGATTTTCATCCCAACCTCCAGCACAACTTCTGAAGCACTCAAAGGAAGGTTGGGTTAAAAAGAGGAACATGGTGCACGAATCTGCAGCTGCAAAGTGGCTGGTGTCTGTTCTGGCAGCAAAGAGTTCAGCCCTGTTAGTAGCTGAAGGAAGGTCAGGGAGGACTGGGTGAGAGCAAGAAACAAGACTTTTGGACAGCCTTGAAACGATTCAGGGATACTGTCGTGTGACAGAATGGGAAAGCAGCTGACCTCAACTTAATATAATCAAGCAGTGGAAGGAATACTTCCACTGAGGACCCCCTCAATCTTATTGTCAAACCCAGAGGAAGAGAAGAAGTGAGGGGGATGACCAACCCATCACTGGGGGTGAGGTCACTGAGGTAGTTTAACAGCTCCTTGGTCACAGAGCCCCTGGGGTAGATCAGATTCTCTAGAAGCATCTTAAGGCTCTTGATGTCCTCCAGGACCAATTACACAAGGATCACACTTTTAAGCCTCGCTGGAAATATTAAGCTACTAGATGTACTAGAGAAGAAGTTTGTCCACATTGGTCCTCCTGAAGCTCAGTTAAAGAAGTTGTATGTAGTGTATGTAGTAAAATCTAGTTTTCATCCTGGTTGTGGAATACTGGACTACTTCTTTATCCTGCTGAGCATGTTTGAGGGTGTATAGAAATTTCTTTTACTTATGTATTAATCACATTATTTTATTGTAATGCCTTGGTGCCACTGGGTTTTAACATGTCTTAAGACAAATGGTAGGGGGTGTAGTAAGGATCTTGGGGGAAACAGGAACTCCACAGGAAGAGTCTTTTGTCTCTTCAAGGACTCTGGTAGGTAGCAAGGGAGTGTGAACCTTAAGGTGTGAAACAGCTGTGTACTGCCTTTTGTTCCTGGAGAAGGTATTTAACTGAGAGCCATGTTAGACTCAGGGAGAACTCTGCTGACCGTCTGTCCCGCGGACATGCAGGGGCTCCATCAAGCTTGGTTGTCTGTTCTTTGTGTGCTTTGATTAAAGAATGTTAGCTACCGCTCGTTTGCAGGCTTTATTTAAATGGAAAACTTCCACAACAAGGGTGTGTGGGAGTTTGCACAACCAGTCATGTTCTTTGTGGACTTGAAGAAGGGGTCTAACTGTAACCCTCATGTGTATGTGCTTCAGGAGTGTGGGGTATCTGACCCATTGCTATGATCCATTTGGCCCTCATTTTGCAGTGAGAGCTTGGACTTACTGGCAATTATTTGCTCCTGGTGTTGGACTTGGCCAGGATTTCATGGTTAAGATTAAAATATTTGAAAATCCTTGGATCAGCACCCCATACAAAACGCTATTTAAATACCAAAAACACATCTTTCCAATCTTTCCAATCATATTATAAAGGTAGATAAACTCAAAGGAGTTGGAGCACGCCACAAACACTCCCCTACTGGCCATAGATCTGTAAATCTCTACTTGTGCGGCAGCGACACACCCATTCATTCTCCCTCTCCTGTTTCTTCTGTTGTTCAGTCTTTCTCAAAGCGATCAGTTGTATATGCCAGGCTCACGAGTCACCCCTAATCCGATAAAGGCTTCCTCAAACCGCAGCTTGCTGCTTCATTATCAATAAATGCATTTGGGGTTGGGGTCCTTGCAGCTAAATACAAACGTAAAGATTTTCTTAAAACGACCAATTTGAGGTATAATGACAATAAAAATGAAAGATTACGACTTTTGCTATGAGTTACTTTGCTATGAATGTCACTAATCCAGGGATTAGTGACATTCATAATGAGGAGGTCAAAACTTTCGTACATACATACATACAAGTAAAGTTTCCGAGAAAAAAAAAGAACCAGGATTTCACAGATTTCACACATTAACACACCCAGCCATCATTATCCATACTAATAATAAACAAGGCTGAAGATGATTATTACTCAGCCTGACATTAATCTCTTATCCATGACTTCACCCACATATGCTAAAAAAAACTGTTATGTCAGTGTGGCCTTCTTTTCTAGCAAAAAAAAAAAAAAAAAAAGGGCAGAGGGCTTTTAAGATGTCTTACCACACGGAAGGGACCAGGCAAGGGCCATGAGGAGGTCCCCAAGGTAATTGGGATGACGAACGAGACCCCACCAGCCGGACACCAGCAGCCGCTTCCCTGTTGCTGTGGCAATGGTCTCCAGTCCTGTAGGGAGTCGTAAAACGCACCGATATTTCTGAATAAGATTTACCAACTCTCTGTCTCCCTCCCCACTTTGATGTGAGGAGGAAATCAATAAAAATAAAAAAAGACTTTATCTGAATGCATTAAAAGATAAAGATAAAAACGGAGGGAAACAAACTGACTAGTGACACTTGGATGAGTGGGGTCCCGCCTGAACTGATTCTTCTGTGAGTTGGATTGTCTGAAAATGTAATATCCAATACCTGACAGCAAAAACCCCCCCAAAAAACAAACAAAAAAAAAGGTTCATTATTCATTTTCAGCCACTTTTCAGCAGAACAGCAGAAAAGAGCTGACAAGCGATTACCATTCAGTGCTATTATGGCTGCAGCCTTGAGTGAACTTAGGGTCTGGGGGTGCACAACCAGGAAGGCTGCCTGCAGGCCGTACGTGAATGGAACCCAGGCCAGATCACCGAAGACCAGCATGAAACCAAAACCATCGTGCACAATGTCCATGGTGGTCAGGACAGCCTCCTGTTACAGCAAAATGAAGCAGACATTAAATAAAAGCAGTGATCAAATAAAGTAAAAAAAAAAAAAAGTGTGACTCTCACCTCATTCCACAGAGCGTCCGCCACGTACAGCAGCTGGAAACTGTTGACCAGAATCATGGCAAGGGAGGGGGATCCTCGGAGCTCCACCTCCTTCATCAGCATGCCGAGGTTAATGACCACCTGAGGGGGTCGTGAATAATGATGAACACAAGTGGGGCTGCGTGTGTTCACTTGCACGGGCAGACAAATTCCTTCTGTGATCATGAGATTGCCAACTAAAATAAATGGATGCTGTCATTATTCTACTATTTATTTTGCAATAAATAAAAAGCTTCTTTTGGCTGGTCACTTATTCTCGTGTGGATGGATCCACATATGCGATTTTTACAGATGATGCCCTACCTGATGCTACCCTCCCAGGGATTTTCATCTCCTCCCAAACTCAAACAGGGGCTCTTTCATCTGTTAGGCAAATTAACCACTACACTACAGAGCCACTGTTTTTAGGATTAATAATCTGCCAAATAATGTCTCACTTAATCGAGTCTTTCGTTTGTGCGTGAAATATAAGACACATGTCCCATTTTCTGTCTTTCTAAATAAGAAAATTCCTCCTGTGATGAATTGATTATAAACATACAGTAAAAACCTACTCTGTATTTAGGTACATTTAATCTAACATAACATGAAACAGTATAGACTTCATTAAAAGTCAAGTCTTAGCCTTATCCATCCATGAGATCATTTGCAGGTCTTGTTCCAGTTTTCTTGAGTGAAAATTAAGAATGAATCTAACTTTTGGCAAACCAGTCATGTCGTCAAACAAGTCCTTGATATCTTCTTCACCTCTGAATCACCTAAATCTGAATGACAGCTTGCAGTCAACTCTGGGTCACATGTGAGGTCTTTTGCGCAAATGTCCAATTTACATTTGAACTATTTGTGATTCAGGGCGACACGTTTAACCGTATCTCGCACAGAGTCTTTCCAGTGCTCGAATGAAAGCCCAGACTAGGCGCTGTGATCCATCATTTTATGTCAAATGGAATGAGCTGGAGTGCAGAGTCTAGAGAACAAAAAAATGTGCAAATAATTACAGCGTGCACGCCAATCAATTGTCTGCCATTTGGACTAATCGAATAAATGATTAATAAATGCATTATCACACTCCAAATGCTTTCTGAGTGAAGGATATTCTGCAGCTGCATTCATTCCCCAGACTGTTGTCATTTATGTTCCTAGTGGGAAAAGAAATCCATACATCGTGTACATTTTTCCGACTTGATGATACACGAGAATGCAGAAACAAAATAAATATTTCACACTCGAGCTATAAACACTTCCATAACTCAAACTGAGTTATTAAATATGAAGCTGATTTAGATCTAAGAAGCAATATTTGGCACTATTATACCAAAGTCCAAGGAATCCATTAAATTATTAAGAAAGCCCATCGTGCTTTAATATTTGAGATTTTATCAACAACTGTGAAATGCTGAACGTTAAAAGAAAGTAGTTTGGACGTTGAACAGGAAATGAAAATATCCCACACAGTGTCTGTAGCCAGTTGGTGGAGGCTTTTTCTGGGCTCTCCCACGCACATGGCTTTAAAACATTCACATGTGCAAAGGTTTTTCCTTTGTACACTGTAAATACCAAAGGAAAACGGCTGCTCGCATCAGTGCTTTACCGAGACGCTTCAACCTTCTGCAGTCTCGGTGCTGTCGTTTTTGTGACCGGCGATGACACTGAGAACCTCGTGGTCATTTTAGGGATCTTGTTTGAGGTTCTACAGCACATTTAGTCTAATTTAGTCTGATGACTCAGACACGGATAGCTGCGCGCACCCCAGTCCTCCAGCAAATGTCTTACTGTGTCAGGTCAGCAGGGAGAAAAGCTTTTGATTGTGACTGTGTCAAACTCACAGACTGCAAATTATTATGGAAGCTCAGAGGAGAGCAATACCGCCACCTGTTGGTTATGTTGGGCTCTTGGACAGAAATGACCATCAATGTTATTTAATGCATTTAACGCGAATCTGAAGGTGTTTTGCACACTTACAAATACATCCGGGTAAGACTCTATTATCTGGCCGGGTCTTTCTGTGCAGAGTCTGAATGCTCTCTCTGCGGCTGTGTCGATTCTGTCCGAGTACTCTGACTTCCTCCCACAGTCCAAAGACATGCAGTTAATGGGGTTAGCTTAACTGGTGATTCTGGTGTGATGCGAGTGTGAACGGTTGTTTGTCTCTTTGTGTTAACCCTGAGACATAGTGGTGACCTGTCCAGGGTGTACCTTGCCTATAGGGATAGGATTGTGGAGCCACTTGGATAAGTGGAAGAGAATGAATGGATGACGACTAACTTAAAAGGACCTTGTTATCTCATTAGAGACAGTTTTCAAATGTCTCTCTTATAGAGTACTGTATCTATAAATCTTTGAACAGTGTTAAGGTGAGCCAAGTAGTTTGCTACTCTGGGTAAACTCACCCAGCCAATCAGACCCGGTCTGAGCTCGCAGAAATATTTCAGGTCAAAATCTCCAATCCGGGGGTTTAGCTCCCGCCCGATGAAGAAGTCATAGAGCGGGTTTCCTAAATCATATCAAAGAGAAAATCACAAAAATCAAATGCTATAATTACATGCTGACATAAAGGTAGCAGAGTAGCAAGTACAGGAGCGCAATCTCACTTAACAGTTTGCCTCATGCATAATGCCTACAAGCTCCTGTTGAGCGTGGCAGTTAGATAATTACCCACAGGAACACCCAAATCCTCCAGCAAACAATACAACAAGCCTGTGGACGCACTGAATGCTGCCAGCTGCTGGGTTCAAACCGTGTTTTAGCATGGATTCAACCTTTATTAATGATCCTCAACATCTCACCTGTGTTTCCCCCCAAAGCAAGCGCATGGGAAGGAGCCCAGAAGGAGCGGATGTAGAGGTAGATGGAGAACAGGAACGACACTGCTATTGCACATACTGCCAAAGGCAACAGCAGCTCAAACAGATACCCCAGAGGAGCCCCGAGCCCCAGTAACAACATCAGGAACACACCGCTGATGCACAGGCCATGAAAACCTGAGGGAGGGAAACAAACAACACAAAATGTTGTCGCCTGGAGGAGCGAGATAAGCAGGCTGACAGAGGCTTGCATGGAGAAAAAGGTAAAAGTTGGAAGAGCTGAGTATTATGTAACTTCAACTTTTAGATCAGACCTGTGGATTTTAGATTTTCTTTTCTTTTTTTTTCAAATATACTACAGTCAGCAACACAACTGTGAACAACACATTTGCAGTCAAAACATGTATAATACTAAAGAATAGCTGTGAAACATTGCAGATAGTGCTGCAGGATTACAAATTATTTCACACTTAGGTTTAATATTTAAATCTGTTTCTTGAAGGCGCACAGATTCTGTCCTAAACAGAAATGCTTGTAGTTATATCGCGCCCTGCTCAACGATACCATTTATGGGATACTTGAGGCGTGTTCCATCTCTGAGCACCAGCCCCTCAGACACCTGCAGGCAGTAAGCAGAATACAACACAAATCATATGCTGCATACCTATTACAGTGTCATAAGGTCAATAATTCAACCCATTCTTTCTCATTTCTCATTTCTTCATAATTGTGCAGCTTAGAAAGTTCCTCTGTAAAAATGCTGGACTCTATAGGCAGAGAGCGCCTATAGCCACAGATGAACTGTATTATACAGGTCGCTGTATTTTATAAACTTCTCAGTATGTAGCAAAGGAGAAGTGTTGAGGCGTGTAGCTCTGAAAGAACTCTAATTGCAGAGTACAGTCATTTAACCAAGAGGATGATCACACCGACTGGAACTTAACAGACAATAATTATCTTCTGATTTATTAGTATTAATTATTACACACAGCATGTTATAAAGCTATGTTTACAGCTTCATTATACACATAAGCTAGATCACAAACCCACAGCAGATTTCACTGTAAGTTTCACATTGAATTGGGCTGATGAACATGCCGTACCTTTCCTAATGGCATCAAATAGATGACTGCATGCAAAGCAAACCACCCAAGAAGAAGCACGGGGGCCAGCGGGTCCCACAGCTGGTCAGCTGAAGGGAGGGGGGGCGGCCATTGGAACAAACTGGCCTCAGGAGATCGGCTCAAACAGATCAGGAACAGCACCGTTAACGGAAGAAAGATGGGAATGCACACGGCACCTGAAAGATGAATACAATTAAAGAATCAGACAAAAGTATGATGACAGGTTAGGTGCATCATAAGACAGCATGGCTGAGACAACATGTAAAGAAGTGAAACAGCATCTGTGGAGATTTGGCATTGCAGCACATTAATAATGCATATGCAGGTAAACTGTGGTAACTCTAATAACTGCAGAGTAGCAAAACAATTCAGTCAGCTGACTGTAAACATCAGTAGTGACGGATGTGAAATCTGTAGTTAGCTTAACTGGAAAAGCACGACATGAAGCATCAAGCACATTTCACTTCAGCAATGATGAATCTGACATAGGAGGCTGCCTTGATTCTTGATTAGAGGTGTAATGACGGAGATGATGCTGTGATGCCAGCGATCATTACTACAGTGCAACATCCTACATCCTATTAGTTTTACTGAGGCATCAATCTTATGGTCCACCAAACAAACTGCTCAATTTAATAAAACAACACATCTCTAGGCAGTGTCAGCATCATAAATAGCGCATTAGTGTAAACGTTCTTTTGTATGTCAGCTAAAATGATCACCACCGCTTATTTCTTCCTTTTATAAAATCAGGATCCTCTTAGCTTCTATCTAATTTGTATATAACAACAGCATTTAGCTGCAGGGAAATGCAAGTAATGTGATAGCACTGCATTTGCAGACAGCAGCTTGAGCATCAGAATGCATGAATGAATCAAAGGAAAGAAAAGTTGCTGTTGTTTTTCTAGTTTAGTGCAGCAACGGCACATGCTGCATCAATGCTTAGCACTATGATCATGGCAACGTGACATCAAACTAAATCGAAGATGTCTACTAGCGCAACATTAAGACACACTGCTGTGACTTACCCAGGGTTCCTCCAAATTCCCTCTCTGAGTCATGTGACAGTTTGTGTTTGAGTGCTTGACTGTTTGGTCTCATTATTGTGCTCCTGTTTAAAAAGAAGACAACATATACAATAGGTTAAAAGGTTGTAAGAATGACAACACAAACCCCTCAGAGACTGTATTATTATTAAGATCTTGAAGCTTGAACTTTTTCCCTTGAGTATTTCCATTTTATTGGGCACTTTTTACCAACTACCAGCAATCAGTAATGATTATCTAAAACCGGAGATTCAAAGAGCATACACACTGCAATACACTTATAACTGATTTAATAAACCCTGTAAACCCACAGAGGCTCTCCTCAGGTTAGACAAACTGAGATTTCCACCAGACTGTCAGCGTTTGAACTCTTTCTGTAACAAAGCTGTCAGGAAAGTGAAGTTGACTTCAAAGGCATCTCTCCTCTTTCAGTAAAATCTAAAGCTGAGGGCTTCCGCTTGCAGTAGAGTAATTTTTAAATGATTCTATTTGTACTTTTACCAGAGTAGATCCAAGTACTTCTTCTACAGGTGCATACTTTTCAGACTATATTTGATGTAAACCCCTCACACTGAATGGCGAGGCCACAATAATGATGCATTCAAATACTCAAAGGGAATTCTAAATGTGGGCTAATAATCAAACTTGACAAAAAGCAAGAGAAATGGTCAACGAGACGATTAAGAGTCATCAAAAAGTCATTATGGTTCGATTTAAAAACCTTTTTCTTATAAAATGTTAAATTGCTGCTTATTTCTGCACACCCGTGCTGGACTGTTGCCATGGGTGCCATAAATAAATAAGGCAAAGTTCAGGTCAAGCTGCTGTCAGTTCCTGAGCAGTTCTGCTGTGGACAGTGAAACACGGGTCGGACCAGTTACCTGTGAACGAACTGAAGGCTTTCCGCAAACACGAAGAGTGCAAATCTGTAGTCCTGTTTAGCTTCTTACCGGTTACTGCAAAATGGGATGTTTGCATCAAGGCAGCTCGTGAGCGTCCATCCAGCAACCTGCACACGGACACGCCCCCACCTACGTTACTGCAGCACGAAATCCTCCCCGCGCCAATCAGGAGGCTCCGCGGTCATCAGAAGAGGGTGGGAGAAAAAGGCTTAGCCAATCAAATGCGATCGTCAGGTGGCGACAGTCAGCTGTACCCTCCAGATAGTAGAAAATGTTGTGAAATTCGCCTCAGTCACTCTCATGCTCACAAGTTTAGATCAGTGCAGAGCACAGTGCTATATCTACAAGCTGATTTCAACAGGGACAGCACAACCTCTGAATCCCACATTCATACCCTTTTATTGCAGACAAGCTACATTTAAACATTCCTTACATGGAAACAAACCCAGAAAACAGACTCAAACGACCTGAAGGTAGCAGGTAGACACACATGGATTACATAATCAGAAAATTATTATTCAGCAAAGCACTCTTAAAAATTATTTATTAATACATGTGATTTTCACAGGACACAGCTTCTCTCTGTAGTCATTAATATTATGTACTCAAGGTCAATATTTTATCCTTCAAGTGAAACAGGTGCTAAAAGCTTCAGCTTGTACAGTGGATTATTCAACTCTATCTTTGTATAAGGAGGAGATGGAGATGATTTTGTTAGTTTGTAACAGTTACGATATCAAACCAAAGTGGTACAGGCTCATTTGGACTTTAATGACAAGCACTTCGATTTAAATCTGCCACAAATTTGCCGTCAGTTAACAGCTACTACTGTTTGATTTAGTGTTGAAAAAGTAATCATTCCTGACTCGTTCGATCTGGATCAACAGACTGAACAGCAAGTGTTGAACAGAACAGAAGTGTTTAAATTTGGATTCATGATTTCGGTGTAAATCTTTCCATCCCTCGAGCCTTAGCCTCTTTCACAGATAACTTCGATAACACTCTGCTCCATTGGTGCAGGATCCAGGCAGCGGTGGGCGGCGCTTCCAACGATCTCATCTAGCAGGAAGTGCACGAGATTCTCGTCGGAAACAAAGCGCCACAAGTACATCTGCAGGTAGTGGCAGTCCACCTGGATCTGCTGCAGCCCGTATCGGCCAAAAGTGCGCAGGCGGACACACTCCAGGAATGTTTTTAAGCTGATTTTGATAATTCCCGTCATCACGGACACCTGAGGAAGCAGAAAGACGTGCAAGTGAAAATGTAAGATTTTTTCCTTTTTCATTTTGTTAAATGAGGACCATCTGCAGATCTGCACCCACCTTGTTGAACTCCACTGAGCTAAAGATGTCGATCCTTTCAGAGAACAGCTTGTGTATGTTGCTCAGCAGATTGGTATCCATGGGAGCACTGAAGGTAAACAGAAGACAAGTGTTCAAGTAAATGTGTTTAAAAATAAAATAAAAAAGTTAAAGTATGATTAAAAATGCCTATGAAACAACTGACATCGTACTTTCAAGGATAATGTCACACTGTATCTGTGCCTTTTATTTATAATATTTTAATAACCACTCAGTGGTTATTAAAATGTCATTACAATGTCATTACTTTATGCTGACATTTCCAAAATCACTCACTGTACTCTACCAAAATAAATGAATAAATAAATAAATAAATGAATCAAAATCAAAAATAGGGTGTCAAACATAAGGCCCATGGTCCAAAATTGGCCCAACAAAGGTTCCAATCTGGCCCTCTGACTGGCATAGAAAAATGTGAAGGCAAGCATCCATTTTGGAATTTTTATTGTGTTTTCAGAAGTTTTAAAACTTTTCTTACTTATAAAGAGCTTCCCTGTGGCCATTCACAGCAAAGTAAAATAATTAAGAAAAGTAAAGTAAGATGGGCAAAGAATTACAGAAAGATTCCTGTTTTTTCACTGTATATTGTAATTTTTACTGTGAGTCAAAAAAATTTCAGCCTTATAATTATAGGACGGTATGGTAACAAGCTACCAGATCTTTCTCTGTAATTTTACAAATTTATTTCTCACAGTTTAACCCCAATGAGTCATGCTGACAGTTTTCTTTCATTAACTGCAGCAGCATTTCTTCATTATGTAGAAAAACCGAGATGTAGTGTTGAAATTACACTTCTTTTTCTTATATTGGGATATATTAGGGATTAAATGTTTGGTTAAACTTCCAGGGCTCTTACGGTCAAAATAGGCTGCATGTGGCCCACAATATAAACAAGTTTGACATTCCTGATTTAAAATTTGCTTTCGCCCCATTTATAGGTAGCTCTGCACCACTGCTAGCACTATTATTAACTATTTTAAGGTCAATTGCTGAAAATCCCATTCTGTCCACTTGCACTGGTGTGTTTGCAGTGCACACTGGATCACATGCTCTGTGGTTAAGAGGACAAAGTTACAAGCCAGAGAGCCATAACTTGTAAACAGGTTGAACATGTGCTGCATGCTTACACACCAGTCAGTTTCTACAGAAATATTTATCTTCAGATACCTCTAGACATAGACCGTTATGACCGTGTAAATGTTGCAAGTAAACTACACGAATTATGCATTTTCACCTTTGACCTAATGCACGGCCTCTAAGCTTGAACACTCCAACCTTTTCCACTGAAAACTCCTGTTTGGGAGTTGGTATTTGTTCTCTATGGAAGTTTGAAATCACAGATGTTCAAGAACATCCAAGCGCCGATTGAAAATCTTGACGGGAAACATTGGACACATTTATAAAGGCCCTTCTATTGTTTCATTTTCTACACATTAGACTCTACTTACTCTACTTTTGCGCAGTGATGTCCAAACCCAGGCCTCAAGGGCCGGTGTCCTGCAGGTTTTAGATGTGTCCTTGATCCATCACAGCTGATTTAAAAGCTAAATTACCTCCTCAGCATGTCTTGAAGTTCTCCAGAGGCCTGCTAATTAACTAATCATTTGATTCAAGTGTGTTGACCCAGGGTGTTATGTAAAACCTGCAGGACACCGACCCTCAAGGCCTGGAGTTGGCCAAGCCTGGTGTGAACAGAACCAAAAAAAAACCCCAAAACCACAACTGCCACCAGCTGAGCAGTGTGTGTAGAGCTATGGTACCTTGGGGTGTAGCTGGCAGCATAGCGGGCTTGCTGCCTGGAGCTGCTGTAGACAGAGAAAGTCCTTTTGCTGGAGTCGCTGCTGTGCGCTTTCCTCACGCCCTCTTCATACAAGAGACCAACCTATCATGCAGAAGGTTAATAAAACACCCCGTTCATGTGGGATCATGGGTGCACGAGGACATTGGGACAGTTGCAAAAACTCTCACCTGCACATCAATGGATGTGGTGTCCTCTACTACTCTCTTCATGACAGCGCGGACATTTCTTGGCTCAATAGTGTTAACCCAGTCTCTGGTTTCAACGCTTTTTCTTAACATTTGGGAAATAATCAGACCCTGAACCTGAAGCAAAACAAAAATAAAGCAACTAAATAAAAAGGTTGTTTTGCTTTTGTGACTTTTAAAGGTTGTTGATAAAAAGCCTACCTTGACATAATGGTTGAGTAGTTTCTGTGCTGCCTCCCTGGCTTCTGCACATAAAGTTGTAACAGGTGTTACGGGACTGTGGTGCTGAGAGAGAGAGAGCAAAAAGCACATTCTTGTCATTACCTTTGGCAGGGTGACTGGCTGATAAAAGAGATCAAAAACATAATGAGAGCCAGTTCTCCTTGTTTTGTGATACCTGTACAAGGAACTGTTCATCTGTGAGAGTAAGTATGTAGGAGATGGTTGAGGTTTCGTAGTCCAAGCAAAGACGAGACAGCAGCAACAGAAGGGCTGGGGGAGTTGAACCTCCTTTGTCTCCGGCAGTCTCACAAAACTGCCGAGAAGACTGGCATACAAACTTGATAAAGCTCACCACCAGGCTCTCACGTACACCCTGGCTGCAGAATTCACCCTAAAAGGGGGGGAGACACACACAAACCGGTATCACTCGCACAATGTAGAGACAACACGCAGGGTTACAGTAACACATGATGTCACACATTAGTTCAAACAAATGAAAACTATAAAAGGTAGTTTGTTCACCTTGAAGTACGGCTTGTTAGAGAATGTGATGTCCTTAGCTGTAAAGAGATGCACTGATGCCAGCACCGACTTAATCTGATTGAGAATTGAGGCTGACAGGGAGGAGAGCAGCTCTGGTAGGCTGGTTGGAGCGTCTCTGCCAGAGGCTGGCCCAGCCACAGAAGTGCCAGCCACAGAGAGACGAGGAGTTGCCAGAGCCTGCCTCACGTCTGTCAAGCTGTCCATGTAGAAGCTCTGCAGAGCGGAAAGGTACTGCTTGACTCGCTCCGTCGCCGCCCGTATCACAATCTCCGTCCCCTTGTTTGGCACAGCTGAGCCAGGCAGAAGTTTGGCCACAGCCTGGAGTCTGCGGTGGAAGCGGTCCAGCGCACGTACAAGTAGGGAGTTATCCCCAACCCCTTTCTCCTCTTGTATTCTCCGCTCGACAAGCATGAAATATCGAGCAGCCAAATCATCCACAAAGGCATGCAGCTTGCCATTTGCCATCTGAGGAATATTTTTGGATGCCAGCTCGCCCTTTTGAGCATGGTTGATAAACAGTTCTTGATAGGAAGTGATTACCAAGCATAAGCTGCTCACAAACTCATTGCAGCCTCTGTCAATGAATTCCAGGATGTCAGTATTTGATGCAGGGGAAGGCAGAGAGCTGTTTTTGGGGGAGCCGTCGGTCGGCGATCCGGGGGCTGTTGCAGACGACAACCCGTGCGCGGAAGCATCTTTTGTGGCTGTGGACGGGTACGGCCTTATCTCTGCTTCCAGGCCCTGAAGATCTGACTCAAGGCGAGACCGCGCGTGGCTCAGGAATTTATCACAGAGCTCTTCTGCAGGCTCATCCAACTGCAACAGAAGCTCCACACACTCTGATAAATCTTTGGCACTTGACCCACCATCCCTATAATCACAAGAAGAAAAGACAGAAGCAGAAATGTAATGAAACGTGTGATTTTTTTCCATGAAGTTTGGTCCGTCAACTCAATTTGTGTTTATTTATTTGTAATTTTAATATCTATGCAGTTGTGTCAAACATGCTGTTTATCCTAATTAAAATTAT